AGAGAGAGAGAGAGAGAGAGAGAGAGAGAGAGAGAGAGAGAGAGAGAGAGAGAGAGAGAGAGAGAGAGAGAGTCTTTGCGTGTGTGTGTGTGAGAGAGAGAGAGATTCTGTGTCTGTGTCAACTTTGGATCTGTTTCAGATCTGCTTGCATTGACGACTTTGGCTTTGTCGGCTGTTGGCCGGGTGCCTGTTGGAGTTGACCCCGGGGGCGTTGTGCCTCAAACCCTGTGTGCAGTCAACGAACCTTCTTTGGGCGTTTTGCGCTGTGCCTCCAATCCTGTGTGACTGTACTTCGACAACGAATGTACTGCAGCTTTAGTCCTCCAATGTCCTGGCTGTAAATGGGGGCAAGAGAATCGAGTTTGTGTGTGTGCGTAAGTATGTGTGTGTGAAAGAGAGAGAGACAGTGTGTGTGAACCAGAGTATGTATGGGTGTGAGAGAGACAGAGAGAGAGTCTGTGTGTGGGTGTGAGTGTGTGTATGTGTGAGAGAGAGAGAGAGAGTCTTTGCGTGTGTGTGTGAGAGAGAGAGAGAGACAATTTGTGTGTGCATCAACGTACCTTCTTTAGGCGTTTTCCATTGTACCTCCAATCCTGTGTGACTGTACTTCGACAACGAATGTACTGCAGTTCTAGTCCTGGCTGTAAATGGGGGCAAGAGAGAGAAAGTCTGTCTGTGTGTGAAAGAGAAAGACAGTCTGTGTGTTTGTGAGAGAGGGGGAGCTCGCTGAATGCTCAGATACAGGGCAACGCTACCCACCCCAGCTTTGACCGTCGCTGACCCTAGCTACCCTTGCATGTGACTCCAGTCTCTTGGTAGGGAGCATCACCTGCTGGAAACTTGGTCCAGGTTCTTGCTTTCTAAACGTGAACATAATATCAGTGAGGCCTGCCCCAACATCTCAGCCCTGTACGCAAACAGGAGGACGGCCTGCAATATCTTTGGTCATCATTCGCACCCTGAAATTAATTTCACCCCCCCAAAGTGATAATCCGACCTCCAATATAATTTTTCGACCCCTTTAACGGTGACTCCAAGCTGAGAAGGGGAATGACTGTTGGTGTTTCACCACTTCCAACATAACGGCTTCAATGACCTTCACATAATTGCAGTGTTCCTTGTGTTTCACCTCTGTCGTGTCCAAGAAATGAAGTGTCGCCCTGTTGGTGTTTCACCACTTCCAACATATCAGCTTCAATGACCTTCACATTATTGCAATGTTCCTTATGTTTCACCTTTGTTGTGTTCAAGAAATGAAGTGCCGCCTACTCTTGAATAATCACTTTCCCTTTCGCTCTTTGGCATCCGGCCTGCCGCATTTCCTGGATTTTTTTCTACTGCAGTGCACGCGTCCTGTGTGATGTGAGCTCCTCGAAAAAGTACCTCTTTAATTCTGACAGTGTAATGGCTTTGCATATTAAAGCTAAGTCCATTTGTAGTCCTTCAAATTGCTAATGCTAAACAAAACTAACCATCAAGGCTCTCGTTTCCCTCTTAAGCCTTGTTGGTTAATTTTGCACAGCAAAATCGCATTACAGGACTACAACCTCCCTCCGCCTTGCCAAACATTTTAGGAATTGACAAGAGTTATAAAAACAGCCGTAAGCAACTTTTCCCAAATTTTCTTCCACTGCAGTGCACGCTTCCTATGATATCCGAGCTCTTTCAGCATATTTAAGCGTTGGTCAAATTTCGCAGCGAAAGGCTCAAGTACCCCCTTGGTCGTCTGGACGCCAATGTCTTTGTCTGCTTGTTGAAGCACCTAGCCACACAAGCAAAGCGCTTTGTCACCAGAAATTTAGAGATCATGTCTTCGAGCGAGAGCTGCCTTGACGCCACCTGCTGAAGGATGGGGTAATGGCATCAGCATCTAAAGCACCCATCTTAATCCAAGGCGCTTGAGGCGTGTCAGCTGACTTCCCACCTTTCCTGCGGAGTAGCTGTAGGTCCTAACCCCCAGGTCAGCATTCAGACCCCGAGATAACTTTTGCGCCCCTACAGTGGTGGATCCGAAGCCCCAGGTCATCATTCACTACCGCAATGAATTGCAACCCTCCAGAGTGAAGTCCGACCCCCACTTCAATCTTTGCACCCCTTTAGCGGAGTGTCCGACTCCCAGTACAATTTTTAGACTCCTTTAGCAGTGCGTCTTAACTCCCAGATCATCACTCACACCCCGAAATTGATTGCAACCCCCCAAAGTGAGAGAGTCCGACCCCCTCTTTAATTTTTGTACTCCTTTAGTGGTGGGTCTTAATTTCCTCGATGTCATTCGCACTCTTAAATTAATTTCAGCAAGCACTTTGCCACCAGAAATTTAGAGATCATGTCTTCGAGCGAGAGCTGCCTTGACGCCACCTGCTGAAGGATGGGGTAATAGCGTCCGCATCTAAAGCACCCATCTTAATCCACGGCGCTTGAGGCGTGTCAGCTCACTTCCCACCTTTCCTGCGGAGTAGCTGTGGGTCCTAACCCCCAGGTCAGCATTCAGACCCCGAAACTAATTACAACCCCCCAAAGTGGGAGTCCGAAGCCCGAGATAACTTTGCGCCCCTACAGTGGTGGGTCCGAAGCCCTAGGTCATCATTCACTACCGAAATGAATTGCAACCCCCCAGAGTGAGAATCTGACCCACACTTAAATTTTTGCACCCCTTTAGCAGAGTGTCCGACTCCGAGTACAATTTTTAGACCCCTTTAGCGGTGCGTCTTAACCCCCAGATCAGCATTCACACCCCGAAATTGATTGCAACCCCCCAAAGTGAGAGAGTCCGACCCCCTCTCTAATTTTTATACTCCTTTAGTGGTGGGTTTTAATTCCCTCGACGTCATTCGCACTCTGAAATTAATTTCATCAAGCACTTTGCCACCAGAAATTTAGAGATCCTGTCTTCGAGCGAGAACTGCCTTGACGCCATCTGCTGAAGGTTGGGGTAATAGCGTCAACATC